AAAATTAAATCCGATCATGTTAACCAATCTGCACAAATGCAACACATTACTAAGGAGAACGAAACTCTGCGTGCAGCTAACAAGAGTATCATAACTCGTCTTACGCAACTTGAACAGCAGACACGAGCTTCAAATATTGAGATCCAATGTGTTCCAGAGAATAGACAAGAGAATTTAGTTAACACAGTACAACAACTAAGCAATATCATAAAATGCCCTATAGCCCCAGAAAATATACATTTTTGTGCAAGACTAGCGAAAATGAATACTAAAAGCGCTCGACCGAGATCGATATTAGTAAAGTTCAGTAGTCCAAGATTACGTGACGAATTTTTAGCAGCTACCATCAAATATAATAAAAAAAAAATAGTACGGATAAGCTTAACACTAGCCATTTGGGAATCGCAAGCGCGAAGAATACTCCAATATACGTTGCTGAAAATCTTACGCCAGAGGGAAAAATCTTACATGCTGCAGCTCGCCGTAAGGCGAAAGAGCTCGGTTTCCGTTTTGTTTGGGTTCGTGATGGAAAGATTTTTGTCAGAAAATGTGAAGGATCAAACTACATTCATATACGAAATCATGATACTGTGAATAATTTGTCATAGAGTGGCGCTAAATTCGCTAAACTGGTTTTTTTTTTTATTACATAAAGGCACTTTACAGAATAAAATTTCTATTTACTACCAAAATGTTCGAGGTCTAAGATCAAAAACAATTGATCTATTTAATAACATAGTCTGTAATTCATACGATATTGTAATTATGACGGAAACGTGGTTAAATGGGAGTGTTTTCGATTCTGAAATTTTTGATGATCGTTATAATGTTTATAGACGTGATCGGGAGAGTAGTTGTTTTCACGCTTCAAAGAATGGCAGGGGTGTACTTATAGCTGTATCTAAGCAAATAAATTCGGAGCGGCTCTTTAGTTTCGAGTCCAAGTGCGAGGATCTTTGGGTTTGCGTAGAAGTAGAAAACGTCCAAGGCAAGTCTGAAAGACTTTATATATGTGCTGTGTATATTCCCCCACCCGTCCAAAAACACATTTTTGAGCATTTTATTAATAACTCGAGTCGAGTATTGGAATCACTCGATGAAAATATAATTGTTGCTGGAGATTTTAATCTAAGTAGTATAACATGGTCTTTAGAGTCCCACGGGCATCTTTGTGCAAAATACTCCAACAGCTATCTACAAAATCTCTTAACAGACTTTCTACTGTGCAATGAATTGAACCAATTTAATCTAATTAAGAACTCTAAAAATAAAATGCTTGATCTTGTCTTGTCTAATACTAACATTGTTGATATTCTGTCATATCCTGATCCTTTGACATGTGTTGATCCCCTTCATCCGCCATTAGTTTTTTTCGATAGATTTTACAGATCCGGCACCACTAGTCCTTAATAACACAATTACAAAATTTTGCTTCCACAAGGCTGATAATGAAAATATAAGGAAGGATCTAAATGAAATTGATTGGAGGGAAATTTTGGGTGAATGTCTTTGTGTTGATGATATGGTTGCAGTATTTTATGACATAATTCGTAAGTTAATACGGAAATATGTACCTAAGGCTAAACCGCGTAGTCATAAATACCCAGTTTGGTTTACTCCGTGCCTGATAAAACGTATTAACGAAAAATATAAATATAGGATGAAAGTTCGCAAATATAACAATCCTCGCGATAAACTCTGTTTTGACTTACTGAAAAGAAGATGTGAGGAGATGCTAGCATACTCCTACGCTAAGTATATAGAATGCCTTGAACTCTCTTTAAAGTCAAACCCAAAGTTGATTTGGTCATTCCTAAAACAAAAGAAAGGTAAAAGTTCGTATCCTTCTAAAATTAAAGACGATAATAAATTTGTTTCCAATGGAACAGACATTTGTAATGTTTTCGCTAGTCATTTTTCGTCAGTATACAGTCGCATTAATAATATCCAAAACTTCGGTACTAGTCCTAATCTTATGAACCCTTGTTGCAATGTGTACCTTGATTATATATCTTATACAGTGGACCAGGTTTACAATGTTTTAAAAAGACTTGAAATTAGGAAAGGAGCTGGAGCAGATGGTATTCCATCAATATTTGTACGCAATTGCGCTAACGCATTGGCTTTGCCTATTGCACTGATAATCAATAGATCTCTTAGGACTAGTACATATCCAACCTTATGGAAAGAAGCCCTTGTGTTGCCTTTGTTCAAAACCGGAGACAAAGAGGAAGCTAAAAATTATAGACCTATTTCCATTATTTCTGTTTTTTCGAAAGTGTTTAAGAAACTTATATGTCCCGTTGTTTCATGGCACTTTAAGCAATTTGTTACATCTGAACAGCATGGGTTTGTGAAAGCTCGATCAACAGTAACTAACCTAGTTTCCTTTGTGGAAGACATTACTGAATCTCTTGATACTGGCCAATCCGTTGATGCAATCTACACAGATTTCAGTAAGGCCTTTGACAAGGTTGATCACTCTATTTTGCTTGTCAAACTCAAAAGGATAGGTATTGCAAACCCTTTGCTGGACTGGTTTAAGTCATATCTTGCCAATCGGTCGTCAACTGTTGTTGTTGATGGTTATGCTTCTGAGCTGTTTTTGCCTATACTGGCGTACCTCAAGGATCTCATCTTGGGCCTTTGTTGTTTAACATCAGTAATTGCTTTAAGAATTCGAAATCTTATTTGTTTGCTGACGATCTAAAGATCTTTAGACCTGTCTCCTCAAATTCTGATGCAGAATTCTTACAGGAAGACTTAAATAACTTGACATTATGGTGTCGTAGTAACGGTATGACACTAAATGCTGACAAGTGTCATGTTATAAAATTTTCTAGAAAGAAAACATCTCTTGCAACAACATATCACATTGATGGTCGTATTCTGTCTGAAGTTCCTCACATACGCGATTTAGGAGTTATGCTTGACAATAAGCTTCGTTATAATATCCACATAGATAATGTTGTCAACAAGGGTTTTAGGACTCTTCGCTTCCTCTTCCGTAACTGTAAGCAATTCAGGGATACTCGCATTAAAATAATTATTTACTCAGCCTTGGTACGAAGTATCTTGGAATACTGCAGCGTAGTATGGAATCCCCACTTCAATTACTCACATAGAATTGAAAGGATACAAAAGAGATTTCTTTTGCATTTATCTTACGATCATAACCTAGTTAAAACTCTTAGAACTTACGAAGATAAGCTAAATTACTTTAAGCTTCTGCCACTTTCGAATCGAAGACAGCTTCTTGGCCTTATTTTCTTGTATAAGTTGGTGAATGGCGTCATTGATAGTTCTTACTTACTAGCCAAATTAAATTGCCCATTGAAGTCAAAAAGGCCGTCGTCTTATATACCATTCGTAGAAAAGAGCACACGTTCTCGTCAAGCGCGCTATTCTCCGATTAATAGATTGATGTTGAGTTTTAATGCTATATATAAATTATCACATAAGAATAGTATTGGTGACATAATGACTACTGATAACAAACATAAAGATAGAAAAGTTGATATTGACATATTTTCAGATAATCTTTGAAAATTTAAACGTGATTTATTACATTTATATTACTCAAATGATTGTAATTCACAGTAAAATTGTATTAAGCTAAATTGTGATTAGGTAAAGATTGTATATTATAATTTATTAATGATTTTATTTTTGTTATGTTTAACGTTCATAAAATTTCTAATGTTAATAACAATAGTGGAATATGCATGATTTAATTTAATTAATTATATAACACTAAATTCTGATATATTTATTGATCTCTTAATTTTTGTATTCAATTTAATTCACTGCATATGTTTAATTGTGTCTATTTTTTTTTGTAATGAAATGTGTGTAACACCTATAATTAAGTCTACACTTAGTTTTTATGATTTTTTGCAAAAATATTATGCTTTTGGTAGTGTATGTCTTGTTGGTGTTAAATAAATAAATAAAATTTGTTATGAACAGGTCCGTCAACAAAAAATGTTACCAACAATCCGGTCGTACCTGAAGCTGTACACGACCCTGCCCCTGGCGAAGCTGGCCGCGTTCATGTCGGCAGCGCGCGGCGGCGAGCGCGACGCGGCCCGCGAGCACGCCGCCCTCGCCATACATCTGCTTTGCTTCAAGCACAAGATGAAGAACGTCGTCTGGACTAAGGGGCCCAGCGGACTCGATGGGAAGTTCCAAAGTGGCTCAGAGGTAACATTTTTAATTTGGCGTAAGCCCAAATACTGCTGCTCAATTTCAAGACGCTTTTAAGTCTTGTGCTCTCTCTATATCACTTTAATTCAGACTGTGACACCACGAGACTTACGTCATTTTAAAAATGAATAGTGTTTGAGTATTGATTGGCCAATAGTTTCAAATGACCTCACCCTCACAGCTCATATGGTATGTGGGCCTCATTGAATGATCATGTGCTCTTAACTCCAAACTAAGAAGACTTCTGTCGCAATGCCACTTGTGTTAAGTTAAATGAAGTCCACCATCTATTTATAAATAATAATCAAGTATTTTCGTGATTGTGTAACTCCGGAATGATGACGTAAAGAGAGCCAGTTTAATTAAAGCCCTTCTATCATAATCATCAAGTTACATTTCATTTGTAACCTACTTCGTGTAAAATTGGTTGCACCTGCAACTATCCAGGAGCAGCGGCACCTTCTAATAACAATTTTTTTTTAATGCGATTGCCAAATGTGGCAAGTCCCCCCCCCCCTCCCCAATGAGTAATCTATCGGAGATACCTATGTTCAGCAGTGGACTTTGGTAGACTATAATGGTATGGTAATGGTAATAAAATTTTTGTTTCAGCTGGACTTCTATATCGATAATGACATGATCCATATTGCCGACACTAAGGTAGCTCATCGCTATGGTGACTTCTTTATCCGCAAGCTACTCAAGTTTGAAGAGCTCAACCGAAAGCTTCATCATATTAAAATTTAAGCAAATTGAATAAGAATGCAAATTGTATTACATCATCAGTTTATATTTCATATTTTCGGAGTGTAACGAATATATTTACGATTTATTTTGTAAAACTTTTTAGGTTCTTTTATTTCAAAATGTTGCCTTTGTATTGTTTCTGGTTGAGGTTCCATAAATTGTTTCCATGGATGTTCTGTTTCTATTTCAGTTACACGTACATCTTTCAGCCAGATTTTATATTTATCCAGAAAATTCTTACATGCAAAAGTGAAACTTGTGTCACTGTTTTCATTCTGAAAATAGAAGAGTATTTTTATAAATTACAATTTTATTAATATACTTGTAATATTGGAAATTTGATATCTAAGCAACCACAGAAAAATTACATGCAAAGAAGTCTTCCTTCAAATATACAATAAAATTTGAGACACCTGAGTCTGATATTCAAAGTCAATCCTGAGTTCTTTTACATTGTGGTTTGAGCATAGAATCGAGATTGTTTCAGAAGACCAGCCCGTAAGATCGATTAAAATTTTGTTCAGAAAATTCACTAATTATTTCAATTGAAACTATTCGATATGAACTAACTTCGATTATGCGGGTATGAATTTCCTAAGTTCTTGTTCCTCCAGAAATTGATTTCAAATTCAATTACCTTCTCGAATCGAACTGACTTTGTTTCAGTTCTGTTTTTACAACCTAACTTCCGAAACAATTCGAATCGTGATACAATGTTGAATTTTCAATACAATTTATTTTATATTTACACTAGAAAGTCTGGTGTGAATTTGATGTAAAAATAGATGACAATTGATCAAAAAAATTGTCTCCATCTTCAAAATAGCTGAACCAATTGTATTAAAACTTCATGAACAGTTAAAGAGCAAAGCCAGGAGTGGTCTAAGGCTATATTATATAGTTTTACTAAAAAAAATAGAACTAAATACTTTAAAAGATTCTACAAGGCAAAGCCGGGCGATTCGTTAATTTTTAATAAATTTAAAATACACTTCCTAAAATATTTTATAACTTAAAGAGGAACAAACTACGCAAATTAAGCTGCGGTTGACTCGCCAATTGCTGTGTGAACGAGTTTAGTTCATAGTCACTGAGCAGTCGATTTTATTATTTAACGATTTTAGTGAACAAGAAAGTATTTTATACTAGATCAGAAGTGGCGAACCTTTATGTATCAACGTGCTATTTTTATAAAGGAATGTTTATTTAGGTAATAATAGGCGTGCCGTAAAAAAATTGATATCATGAATATTAGAAAAATAATAGTAAATCGAGAGCCGTAGTAGCTCAGATGGTTAGCGCTCGTTGTAAATTTCACAGTACGCGAGCAAACCGGGTTCGATCCCCGCCGGCACCAATAAAATTGTTAATTGCAATTTTAAGTGCTGATTTACCAAGTGCTCGGCGGTGAAGGAAAACATCATGAGGAAACTTGCATGTCTGAGGAATAAGAAAAAAAATATTTCGAAGACGTGTGAGGTTCGCCAACACGCATTGGGGCAGCGCGACGGACATTTCCTTGCCCTAAAACCCTCTCAGAAATGAGCGGAGGCCTGTGCCCAGCAGTGGGACGTATATAGGCTGTAACTTTAATAGTAAATCAGTTATATGCGCAATTAAAATTGTGGTAACATTAGTGTGACTTCTGTTGTTGCAGATTAGATGACAAATAACTTATATTGGGGTTGTAAAATCCTAATTATAACACAAATGAACTTTTAAATACAGTTATGTCAACAAAATTGACTATTATGCTATGCGTAAACGAACTATGCATTCTTTGTGGGAGGCATGGACTTGTGAAGGGCTGTACGATGTAATGAGGATTGTGTGTACCTGCTTTTACGGCGAAACAGATCGGTATCACATATGCAGATACTTAATTCCTATATGAGTCTATCTCAATGTAGCTGATGAGGAGTTTTGATTATGTGACGTACTTCTCGCATAGAGAGCAAGTTATATCATATATATATATATATATATATATATATATATATATATATATATGTGTAACGTATAATATATATGTAACGTTGCACGTACATGTATGCATAATTATAATTAAACGGTTTATTAAAATTAAATAAACATTTAATAAACTAAATAAAAATAAAATAAAAGTTATTAACAAAAATAATTCTATAATTAACTTAGGTATCCTATTAATAAAACAAATCAGTAAACTAAAAGAACGAATTAAATAATAAATCAAATATTAAAATATTGTATTTCGAACAAACACTCTGACGCTTCGTTACTCTATGCGCTTTGCAACTCTCGCGTCAGAGTTTTACCCGGCCGGTATCATTCCACGGCGTCGCGCTCCCGGTCATTCTCCGCCCGAGCGCCCTGGGAGGCGCACACTACCACTGCAGCCGCGTTCACAAGCTCTGCTTTGTGTCCTCGTACGCGCTTGCAAATTTTAATCCCATTTTGGAAAAAGTTTAAAATAATATAATAATTCCGGCACTGTGGCCGTATAGTTTTTTCGTTAATTCTCGTCACCGAGACCTCCGTATCGTCTTGCACCCCGTAAGGGTAAGTGTTGAAACGTTACCTAGTTTTAAGTAGTGAAAGTGTTTTATAGGTAGTGTAATTTGATCATGCCAGGCTGTTTGCTTTTAGCTATTTAATTGCCACGTTATTAGTGTTATTTGCATGTAAGTAATGTATGTAGCCGCTGTGTGCGTTGGCAAAAGTACCGTTACAAAATGGCGTCTCATACATTTCGCACCGCGATCAAATATCGCAAGTCACCATCATGTTTCAACCAATGCACAGCCTAAATTAGTTATCCTGGTACATTTAAACAGTATTTTACACTTGCCGTAATTTTAATTCATGTGTATTTTAATTTGCGCCTCACCGCTATGACGCTTGCCTTCCATTCCGCCTTGTAACTCCGTTCTGATTATGAACACCCGCCAGCTACTCTCTGTGCTCCCATCTACTGCTAGCCTGCGATATACCGGGGGTTCATAATCGGCGGCATTTTATTACCTGGACCTAAATGTGGACGACGTTGTTTCCAGGGTGCAATTTTACGACTACAACCGTGGCGGTCGTCCTTCTTAAGAGGGCCTAGGCCTCCCCTCGACGCCGCCACCGCCACAGCCAGCTGCCCACGGCGCTCCCCGTGAACAGTCCAACCCCCCGGCCCTGCTCGACCACCTCGCGGCCACATAGGGGAGTACCTGACCCTGCCAGTGAAGCCAGACGGGCACTTTTTTTTAATTATCGGAACCACGCCCACGACCTTTTCTTTTACCAATATATAATTTTTTTTTTGACTGGTTGTTGCCTTATTTTAAACATCACCCGCCTCACTGGCGCCCAACGTGGGGCAAAAAAAGGTCTGGTTTCACTGCGTAGGAGTAGTTGGTGTTTGTGTCGTTTTGTGTTTGTGAAACGTTTTTGTTTTTTGTTTTTTGGTTGCAGCAACTAATGTGTACGAATTTCATTATTGTGTTTGTTTTAGGAATTTTATTGAATTTCAATTGATTTATTTATTTACTTGTATTATTTGAGGGATCATAAACTTTAATCCCTAACTAAGAATTTGTTTAGTTTCGAATAACTTTTCGTAATCACTCTATGCCGTGCACTACCTATGTTGTTTACGTTCTATCATTGTACAGAGTAGTTAGCGTGCAGAGTGGTCACTGTGTAATATGTGATAGGGTAAATTTAATATTGTTCCGAGGTATTACTATTCTATTCTGCAGTAGGTTTTTTTTCTCGTGGTTTTTTTTTCTGTGATATTATTATTATTGAAATTTCATGAATTGTAACTATTCCCTATTGTTGCTGCAGAACTCTAGTTCAGTTGAGTCACGCATGCGTTGGTAGTATTTTAAATTATTCAATCAATTGTTTTTTATTTTAATTCTTAGGCATATTATTATTATCTTGTTGTTGTTTTATTTAATTGTTCGAGTACACATTAGTTGCGTATTTTAATTTTTTGTTGCGCTGCTTCTTTTATTTTGGTGGCAGTTGCTTTATTCTTTTTACTGCTTCTTTTATACGCCAATCGTTTTAGTCAACCAGAACGTTCTTAATACCTGATATTATAATTGTAACGGAACGGAGTAGATTAAGTCAGTAACGACTCAACACTTACCTCTTTGCGGTTATACGCGTGTTATAATGGCGCACTCGGTTAAATTCCTATCGTTGCAAAAGTCGGAGTTAGAATACGAAGTTGCCATTAGAGGTGCCACCCCGGCTGACACAGTCAGAGAGTTACGCGAGCAGATTGCTAAATTAGGTCCACTCTTTCCTTCGGAGGACATTCTCGAGAGCGTTTTGTCTGTCGGCGATGATTTAAAGGGAGTCAGCGATGCTTTAATTAAGCTAAGAGCATATATCGAGGCGCCTAGCGATGGGAATGCGTTGCTTCGTGCTCGCAACCTCATTAACCACCTCCATCATCGACTCAACCGTATAGTTTGTGATAGCACGACCCAGCAAGGGGTGGTGGATACGTGTGTTTCGGAATACAGGCAACTTTTGGAACGCTATAATGCTATTACTGCTACTGATTCCACCCCTTCTCTGGCATCTAGAGACCCTCAGTCTACTGCTGCTTTACCTCTCAACGTTAACGTAACTTGTGAGCGCGGCGTGGCTAGTGAGTTCACTAAGTTTAAGTTCGACGGCAAATCTTGCGTTCGTGCATTTATCCAGCGCATCAATGAATACAGCCAGTCGAGGAATATACCGGGGGGAAAAACTGCTGTCTTACTGCGCTGAGATTTTTACCGGCGATGCCTTGCATTGGTATCGTGCCATTCGGGACCAGGTATCTAATTGGGACGAGTTAGTTTCCCTTCTTAGAGAAGATTTCGACCAGGCCGATTATGATTACAGACTCTTGTCGGAGATTCGGGCCAGAACTCAGGGCGAGTCTGAAAATATAACTATTTACATTTCTATTATGACTGGGCTATTCTCACGTTTGTCCAAGAGCCTGTCTAACGAAGACAAACTTGAGATCATTTTACATAACATCCGCCCATGCTACGCCAGCACCTTAGCTTCTGTCCCGAAGATCTCAGACCTCGACACCTTGCGTTCGCTCTGTCGTAATTACGAGAACATTCAGGCTCGCCTAGTGGGATTCCACGAACCTCCGAAGGTCTCTTCAGGAACACTGGCGCCAGAGTTTGCTTACGCTGGTCAGTCTGCAAGTAGGTTTAATCAAGGCAGCGGCCAAAGTTTCAATAAAAGACCTTACAATAACTTTTACAATAGAAGCAACAATAATTAC